CATTATGTCGATGATTACCTCAAAATTAAAATGCTCGTGTCAGAAGTCTATGTTTGTTTGGCGATTACAAATTCTCTCAAACTAATTAGTAATTGGAGAGTCTAGTCAATCAATCCATGCCGTCCATTCAAATTTTGAAGGGATGAGAATCACCTGCCTAGAATTTTCATTATTACAAGAGTGATTTCTCGCTGTAATAGCCTCGATATCAAAGTTGTTTCAAGATAATAGCAAAAATCATATATGGTTGTATATCATCCCTTGATTTTTTAGTCCATGATAAATATTTGTGTAATTAGACCTTCTCCAATAATTGCCTAACCGGAGGCGACCCGGATCATTATTTTGCCTAAAATTTAAAGAAAACAAAATGAGATTTGGTGTCATTACATCAAAATTTTTATGATATTTATTCTCTCTCAAAGATTGAACGTAAAGGAGAAAATTATATTGACTCTTCTATTAATAAAAGTGGCGGGGAGGTCATTACTTCATCTTGTAATTGTTGGACGTATCTTGTGTCAATTTCTTAACAAAAATTCTTAATAAAACGAGTATTGGACTGGAGGTATTTTGACTCTGTTATTTTTTCCTTAAAAAGGTGTTATTAATTATATAGTAGAAGGTTATGATTATTTCTAAATGTACCACTTGTCATGTCCATTGCAACTATATTTATTCATAACCTGCACTAAGAACAAAGACAAGTAACAACTATTCTGTAACAAATCCAAAGTTTATGTACTACTAAATCTTGGTTCTCTCAGTGGCGGATTCAGTTTTTTCGAAAAAGTGGTGCCAATATATAATAATAGTTAATTTTTTTTAAATAGCACCCCGGGAGTTTTCATATTTGGAAAACTTTACCTAATTGCATCATTACTAATACTAGAAAATGCATATTTCTTAATAGATAACGTCAATGAGCGATCATTGAGCTAATCATCGCTCGTTTATCCCATAACTTAATAGTAATCAATTTTCAATGCATTTAAAAGAACTCTTTTAATAGTTACCTTAGCCATATATAAAATCAGCGCAATCTCCAAAATGAAATACACAAAATAGTTTTAGTCTTAGGGCCTGTTTGGTTGCACACTTTTTGAGAAAACTTTTCTCAAAATATCTGACAATGACAATTTTGTAATTAAAAGTTTTCTATAGATTTCTGTAAATTGTGTTTGGTTCAACAAAAATTTTATAGAAATATTTTCTATAAAATATCAAAAACTACCAAATTTTACAAAAAACAATTTCCTCTCAAAATGAGAGGAGATCAACAGGAAATCTAACACATTCCTTATTTAATCAACAAAACCCGTCCCATACCCATTTTCTATAAAGTTATGAGCCATTTTCTTGTTTTGAACCAACCAAACAAAGTATAAAAAATAAGAAAATTGTTACTTTTTAACTTCTCAAAATTTTTCCTATAATTTTTTAAGAAATACAAGGAAATCATATTTTGGGTGGAAAACATTTCCTATAATTTATAGAAATTGAACCAAACACCCCCTTACTCACACTAAATACCATGTCATTTCACCTACTTTGCACATATATTTCCTTGGTTGTATTTGATTGCACCCAAATACTTAACGTTTCTAAAAGTTGGTCTTTAACACTATCGGTTATAAAAATGTGAGAGTTTCTCTCTAGAAATTCTCATGAGACACTCACATACTAATTTTAGAACATTTTAACTCTTAATATTTGTTAAAGTTATTATTAAACCTATCAAAAATCTATTTTTAAATAGGCTTAAGGTAGATTCAAAATAGAATTTTGATAGGTTTAACAATAGATTTAATAAAAAATAAGGGTTAAAATATTCTAAAGTTAGAATGTAAGTATCACATGAGAATTTTCAGAGAAAATTATCATTTTTTGTTAACTAAAGGGTACCATAGTGCAATTTTCAAAAAGAACATTTAAGTGTGACCACATACAAATGAGAGTATATACGTGATAATAGGTGAAATTATAAAGTGTTAAGGGTTTGTGTTGGCTGAGCATGTTTTTGCTTGAACAATTACCTTGTTTATCTGGGCAAGCGGGGTGGGTGATGTGGCCAGTGAAAAGCCTAGCCAGCAAACTCTATGCAATTCCCTCCGTATATATGTGAAAGTAGGTGAAATTATAAAGTGTTAAGGGTTTGTGTCGGTTGAGCATGTTTTTGCCTGAATAGTTACCTTGTTTATTTGGGCAAGCGGGTGGGTGATGTGGCCACTGAAAAGCTTAGGCAACAAGCTCTATGCAAGTCCCTCCATTTTGATCTGCTTTGACTTGAAGTTACTATAGCTATCAGGTTGATGTAGACGGTTCAAATCATAGTTACCTTTACTTCCAATGGTGTTACACTAAAATAACCAAAACATGCCCTGAGTGCAATAAAGTCATGGTTCTATGTGAAGTGAGATCATATGGACAAATTTTCAAAACCAACCCATTTGATAAACTAATTGCAAAAAACGACCCGTTTCAGATTTATTTAGAGAAACCGACCTGGTTTCAGCACTGTCGCTGAAACCAGGTCGGTTTTTCTAAAAAACTTTACGAAACTTCACGGGAGTTCAACTCCCGTGAAGTTTTTTCTCATAACAAAACTTCACGGGAGTTGAACTCCCGTGAAGTTTCGGAAACTTTTTTTCAAAAACCGACCTGGTTTCAGCGCTGAGGCTGAAACAATGTCGGTTTTTGCAAATAAAACTGAAATGGGTCTTTTTTTGGGAATAGTTTATCAAATGGGTTGGTTTTGAAAATTTGTCCGAGATCATATTGTTCCTCAACCAAAGTGGGGGCGTGTCTCCACTCTCATACAGGCAGATCTACCACTTAAAGTTTTTCCTAGCTTTATTGTGGAGAGCATCCAAATCCTTCTCAAGTTACTTTAAATTGCAAACTAATGTGCACCCCGTGCAAAAGCACAATCTCCAATTTTTTTTATTTCCGCCACAATAGTCTTGTATTTAAATCCAATTTTTGTATGTGCTACAGTAACTTTTTGAAATGCTACATTGCCTCCGCCTGAGCTATAGTTACAGTGCTACATTATGTTTTAAGCGCTACAGTTTCAGCCTGTGCTGGATTAATTTATTGTAACATGAATAGTAAACTCGGATCCTCTTGTTTGTGCTACAGTAGCAATACTGCAATAATTTATTGTAGTATAGATAGTGAATTTTGGATCCTCCCATTATTATTGAGGAATAGATAAAAGCAAAAAGATATGAAATACTGAAATTTGCAAAGTCCATTCCGCCCTCTTAATTCGAAATTATAAACTTAATCTTATTGATTACACTACTATTACTACAGCTAATAATTACTATAGCTAATAAATACGCAATCAACTCAAAAACCTTGAAGATCTAAAGGCATTTTAGGGCAACACCCCCGCCTATTCTTTCCACGATGGTTGTGGATGCGCACGCTCCGAAACCTCCGCCCAAAACTTCGCTCCTCCCGAAAATACCCGACATTTAAAAGACAAATATACCCCCCACGTCATGAGATCATAACAGCCTACCAACCCCTTGAAGTCAGCAAATCCTGAACGTTCGATTCGTGTCCTGCGACCTACAGAGCACGTTAAGGGCATCTCCGTTATAAACAGAAACCGGAGAGCAATTTGGGCATTTCCAAATTTAGGAGCTCATCGGACACGTGCGAGCTCTCGTTACGTAGGCCCCGCATAGAGTTTCTATGCGGGAATCAATCTCAGCCGTCAAATCCATGTCGCATAGAAATGCGTTCCGCCTTTTGAGTACAAGTAGAGGGAACTCGAGAATTTAGAGAGACAGAAGTGAGGGTTTTGAGTTTAGGATTCTAGGGTTTTAAAGCGAAAAAGGTATAATCCTTCGGATCTTCTCCTCTTTTCTCTTGATTTGTTTCCTAGGGTTCTAGATCGGCTACACGCATTGCGTATTTTGTAAATTTTTCGAGTAATTTTGGCGGTATGTCGAGATTTTTGAAGTTTTTAGGGGTTTGGTGACCATTTATTTGGTTGGATTTTAGGCGTTTGCTATGATTTTAGAAAAGCTTGTCGTTTTAGTGTAATTTCTCTACATTTTTGCTAGGGTTTTAGACTGTGTACATGCATTATTCCTTTTTGCTTTGTATTTGAGCGTCTTTGGCGTTAGATTAAAAGGCTTTCAAAGATTTTAGGGGTTTTTGACTAGATTTATGTATAATTTTGTGTCGTAGAGGATCAAGTGGTGTCTTTTATTTTGATTTGGTTTAGATTTTTGGGTTTTTTTGGCTCTCTTCTTTGAGGAGTTTGTTGTTTTAGTATAGTTTGCTGCTTTTCTTTATTTTGGCAACATGCATTGCTCTTAGCTGTTGATGGGAGAGGTTCTAAAGCTTTTAGGGTTTAGTGAATTTCTAAGGTCAGGTTTTGCTTTGTATAGGATTACTTGGCTTGTATCCTTTGTTTAAGTTTAGATTTGAGGTTTTTGTAATTTATTAAAAAGAAAAATTTAGTGCTCTAGTCTCATTTTTCTACATCTCTTCATGTTTTCTTAAAAGATAATATTTTGTCTTTTAAGGTGGGGTTTCTTTTGTTTTTTAGGGATTGCCTAAGGGTCTCGGAGGATTTTCTTTACATGCAGTGTTTTTGTCGATTTTCTAAGAGCGATTTTCTAAGAGTGATTTTGGTTGTAAATGAGGGTATTGTAAAGTTTTTGGTGGTTTTCATTGAGATTTAAGGTGATGTAGAGGCTTTATTTTTTTAATTTTTTATAGGGTATTGCTCTGTTTTAGTATACCTTTTAAAACGTTTTTTTGTCGTCCTTTTTAAAGTCTTATTTTTGCTGCTTTATTACTGTGGTTTTGATTAATCTTTGAAGGATTTGCTACGGTTAGATCAGCTACATGCATTGTTGTTTTTTGCAATTCTTTTGGAGTAATTTTGGCAGGTGGATGAACTTATTTTGAAGTGTTGGGGATTTTTAGAGACTTTTAGTGTGTTTTTTGGGATACTTTTGGTATAATCTTGACTCTTCCCTTAATTCCTCTTATTTTGGGGCTCCGATGTTAGATCGGATACATGCAACGCTCATTGTTATTTTCCTAATTTAGCAGTAGACAAAGAGAAGTTTCTAGGAGTTGTTGATGAGTTTTAAGGCTAGATTTTGTTTTTGATGTAGTTAAAAACTAGTTCTAAAGGCTTTACTTCTTCTTTATTGGCAGGTTATAAATTGAAAATGGATCCCCTAAATGGCGAAGGACAAGATGCATTGCCACCTCCACCACCGATCATACCGCCTGGTGTAGTACCAGTCAAAGCCGACCAGGGGCAAGATTCACCCCCTAGAAAGCCCTCAACACCAAAGAGGGTACCAATGGCAAGACCTGGCTTGGCTAAGAGAGGTCAGCCTGTACAGTTGCTAACTAATCATTTCAAAGTATCAGTTCGGAATGTGGATGACTACTTTTACCACTACAGTGTATGCCCCCAAATCTTTACACTGCTTTTTCTTTTCTTTTCTTTTTCTTTGCACTATTTCCCCTTCTCATTTCTTGCTTGCCTATTAATTATATAAAAATTATACTGTTCTTTTTTATACTGTAGGTTGTCATTAAGTACGAAGACGACCATCCTGTGGATGGAAAGTCGGTTGGCAGACAAGTTATTGACAAATTACGACAGACCTACGACAGCGAGATTGGTAACAAGGATTTTGCATATGATGGGGAGAAGAGCTTGTTCACACTGGGTTCCCTCCCGCAAGTGAAGAATGAGTTTACTGTTGTTCTGGAGAACACATCGTCAAATAGGTGACTTGTTGTGTTTCATAGTTTGTTGTCTATTACTATTCTCGGTTTACTAATAATACTGTGCTTCTTCTTGTCCGTTTTTCATGTAGAGCTGCTGGAAATGGAAGCCCCAGGGGAAATGAGAGCCCGGGTGAAAATGAACGCAAGCGCACGAGGCGACCATACCAGACAAAGGCCTACAAGGTTGAGCTGAATTTTGCTGCGAAAATCCCGATGCAGGCCATTGCCATTGCTTTAAAAGGACACGACACCGAGAACTCCCAGGAAGCACTTAGGGTGCTTGATATCATCCTCAGGCAGAATGCTGCAAAGCAGTATGTTTATTTTTGATATGCTAGCGTTAATTTATTAGTGACTTGTTATTTTTGTTTTTTGTTTTATGAAATCAATGCTTCTTCTAGGGGCTGCCTGCTGGTCCGACAGTCATATTTCCAGAACAATCCTTCAAATTTTACTGACATTGGCGGTGGAGTTTTGGGTTGCCGAGGCTTCCACTCCAGTTTCCGGACCTCCCAGGGGGGTTTATCATTGAACATAGGTAATTCCTTTGTAAATGCTGATGGTCACAGTCTGTGATTCTGATAGTTTTCATATATCTGTGCATTTTGGACCAATGGTCAGCTTATAGGCTCTTTTTTGTTTCACTTGGCTATATAATGCCGTTCATGCTGCTGTGCAGATGTTTCAACAACAATGATAGTTAAACCCGGACCTCTTGTCGATTTTCTTATTGACCACCAGAAAGTCCGAGATCCTTTCCAAATCGACTGGGGGAAGGTATGGATCATAGAATTTATTACTCCTTTTTCCTATATCATGTTGGTTCTAAAATAGAATGCGAAAGATGATAAGCCCATGTGTTAATTTATTTGTCGTCTACTTCTCTTTAGTTCACTGATATGCAATTTGTTTCCCTTTATTGTAAACAGGCGAAGCGAACACTAAAAAATTTGAGGATAAAGACGAGCCCATCAAACACAGAAGGGAAAATTGTCGGTTTCAGTGAATTACCTTGCAATCAGCAATTGTTAGTTCTCTCTGCCCCTTTTTTTAACATTTTAGTCTATTTTTATCAAAGTTTGGTATGGATTTGTAAACTTATGTATCAGATTGATTTCTGTAACTCAGTGTCTTGTCCGTGACTCGGGTTATCCTTGTAGTTGCCAAGTCTAATTATTTGTTATCACCTCAGATTTACTCTGAAGCAAAGAACTGGTAAAGATAGTAATGGAGATTTCGATGCCCAAGCAACCGAGATTACAGTTTATGATTATTTTGTAAAACATCGTAACATAGAGCTCAGGTATTCTGGTGATCTTCCGTGCGTAAATATCGGAAAGCCAAAGAGGCCTACTTATATCCCTATTGAGGTATGTTGGATTAACTGACCTCTATATCTTTCACAGAATCTCAGATAATGTTTTGTCCTATTTATACCTTACTGATCTACTTTAATTTTCTTTTGCCTCCAAGCTGTGCTCCCTAGTTTCATTGCAAAGGTATACAAAGGCTTTAACCACAATCCAAAGATCCTCACTTGTTGAGAAGTCCAGACAAAAGCCTCAAGAGAGAATGTCTGTTTTGAGCAATGTGGGTATATTTTAGGCTATGTAATATTTGATTGGTATATGTCAGCTACTTTTAAACGTATGATTCATTTTGTAGGCACTGAAGCACAATAATTATGATGCTGATCCTATGCTCAGAGCTTGTGGTGTTTCTATTAGTAGTCAGTTTACCCAAGTAGATGGGCGTATTCTACCAGCACCAAAGGTTTTGTTTGCTTGCATTCTTTGCAAAAGGACCATTGTGATGCTTATTTATTTATATGATCAAATCATTGCGTTGCTGTCTTGTCTGTCATTATTCAATGTCATAATATGTTCTTTGCTACAGTTGAAAGTTGGTAACGGTGAAGATTTTTTGCCTAGAAATGGCAGATGGAATTTTAACAATAAGGTTTGCCATTACAATCTCTTATAGAAACCTTTTTCTTTGTTTTTCTTAAAACCAGAAATTGCTGTTATGCAGAAACTCTTTGAAGCGACAATTGTAGATAAGTGGGCTGTGGTCAATTTCTCAGCTCGCTGCGATATGAGAAATCTTGTTCGTGATCTTATTAAATGTGGGAACATGAAAGGAATCGTAAGTGCTATCTTTTTATCATATTTCAGTCATTGTTCTCTTTGACAGCACACTTATCTATGTATTCTTTGATTTTTTAGCAAGTGGATGATCCATTTGTTATTCTTGAGGAAAATCATTCTATGAGAAATGCCCCTCCTCCAGCAAGAGTGGAGGATATGTTCGAACAGATTAAGTCAAAGCTACCTGGAGCCCCCAAATTTTTACTTTGTCTCCTATCTGAGCGCAAAAATTCTGCTGTTTATGGTCAGTTTCTTTTGAAATCAAGCTTCCTTATTTTTTGGCTTGCTTATCTGTGTCTGTTTGTAATGATAAAAGTTCTGTAAAATATTAGGACCGTGGAAGCGGAAATGCCTGGCTGAATTTGGAATAGTTACACAATGCATAGCGCCACAAAGAGTTAATGACCAATACCTTACAAATGTTCTACTTAAGATCAATGCAAAGGTAAGTTGTTAAAAACTTATTTTTTTGTCCCTGTTCTCCCACTGTTTTATTCACCTTTGACGCTGCTGTTGGTTTCTTTCACAGCTTGGTGGAATTAACTCTTTGTTAGTACAAGAGCGAATGACAAAGATTCCCTTTGTCTCCGCCTCTCCAACAATCATATTAGGCATGGATGTTTCTCACGGCTCACCTGGACATTCTGACGTTCCATCTATTGCTGCGGTATTGTGACTATATTGCTGATTAAACTACTTGTCTTGGTATCTTTTGAGGTTTTATATTAGTCCCAAAGTTCAATAATTCCATATAAGGCCCTCAAATCTTTGAAATTGCTCATCTATCTCTCAAGCCCCAAGGGTGGCTTTTCAATTTGGGTCCACAATAACCAAAATTACTCCTTAAACCCCCCCCCCCCCCCCCCCCCCCCCCCTAAACAACGAGGTTTGAAAACATAATGGGTCATTGAGGGACCAAATTGCTAGATCACCTAGGATTTGAAGGACATATGAGCAATTCCAAGGGTTTGAAGAACTATTGAGTAATTATTGAAGATTTGGGAGACTATTATCTAAATGACCCCATCTTTTATTCTTGACTGTGCTACTGCGACAGTTCTTTCCTGCCTATACCTTAATTGAGATTTTTCCTATTTGCTATATTCCACTAACAATAGCTGTTTGTTTGCTGCACTAGGTTGTTAGTTCACGACAGTGGCCTTCTATTTCCCGTTACAGAGCTTCTGTAAGAACCCAAAGCCCAAAGGTTGAAATGATAGATTCTCTGTTCAAGCCATCAGGGTCTGATGATGATGGGATTATCCGGTGGGACTTTGATTGGATATAATTAAACTACTTTCTTTTCATCTAATATTTTACATACTCCGGTCCATTGAGATTAATTTATTTAGACTAAACATTCTATGTTTTCATGATTTATTCTGTAACTGACACTGTCATTTTAAATCACAGGGAACTTTTGATAGATTTTTACACGAGTTCTGGTAAAAGGAAGCCTGACCAAATTATTATTTTCAGGTCTATTGTTATTCATTTTGTACCAGTTTTGCCTTTTCATTCTTTTTTTCCTCCCATTTGAAACTGGTCAGTTATGCTGGGTTTGATTTTTGTTTATCTCATAATATAATCAAGGATCTGATGCCCGTGGTTTTTACGTTCTCTTTCTGGCTTCTAGAGTATGTTCATGTATCTGACTTTTTCGCTTGCCATTCATTCATCTGGGGCTGAGCACAGTTCGGTTTAAACTGAACAAATTGATTGAAACGCCCAATTTGTGGTAGTTTGTTCGATTTTATGTTTATCTCGAGTCGGTTTGGGTTGGGTTCTTTTGAACCCATATTTACCGGACCGACTGATGACCTGTTTAAAATGACCCTGTTAATACCCTCTTTGTGCAGGGTCTGCGAAATGCACCCATGTCACTAGTGCGATTCCCCAAGTTAAAGCTAGGTGCCTCGCATAAATACTAGAGAAAGAGTGAGGAATTGGAACACCTATTTAAAGCACACTCAACTTAATAGGCTCTCTTGTGCAGGGCCCACACAGTACACCCATATGATATTCTCTCTTTTACCCTTTTCACAAATACCCAAAAAACCAAAAAGGAAGTCATGTCAGTCATTCTCCTCCAAAAGAGCGTAATTATTATCAACAAAATCTCAAATTATATGTTTCTCTAATTTTTTTGTTCTTTTTCAACCTCCACTTGATAATATTGTCTGCCTTCTCTTTTGTATTTTGTCATAGCCAGAGCAATTTGCTTTAATTGTTGCAGCCATCGCCTGATCATCCTTATCTTTTGTTGCTTGGTAATGAATACTGTAACAACCGAGAAAACCGACGAAATCTAACCGAAATAACTTGGTTCAGTTCTATTGATAGTGCAGTTCAGCTTCCGTCTGTTGAAAGTGATTAAACCCAACCAAACCGTCTGTTTGCTCTCCCCCACATTAGCTTCATGTTGTGCTCAATTGAGTACTTGTTCATCAACTATCTGCAAACATCTTTCTTTTTAAATGTTTTGTGCCTTCTTTTCCATTATTTTGGTTCTTAGTTTATCTATTTTTTGCAGGGACGGTGTCAGTGAGTCTCAATTCAATCAGGTGTTAAACATTGAGCTCGATCAAATTATTGAGGTCTGCTATTCTTAAATAGCTGCAATAAGAACAATTAGCACGTACAAATCATTTTATAATTTTTATATTGATTTTGGATTTTATGGGAGTTTTTTTCTATTATATTCAGGCATGCAAATTTCTTGATGAAAATTGGTGCCCAAAGTTTACGTTGATAGTAGCTCAAAAGAATCACCATACTAAGTTTTTTCAGCCTCAATCACCTGATAATGTTCCACCTGGTTAGTTTCCTCATTGTCTAAAAGTTAGTAAATCTTCAAAGATTATTACCTGCTTTGATTCCAATTGTGTCAAATATTTCTTTTCTTCTGTTTGTGTGTAGGTACTGTTGTTGATAATAAAGTTTGTCACCCCAGAAACTATGATTTCTATATGTGCTCTCATGCAGGGATGATTGTAAGTTTTGGATATGCTCATTGAATTCTAACCTTCATATATTCTATCATAAGCAATTAAAAGTGATTATTTTATTGCATCTAAGGCTGTGTTTTGCAACTCCACAGAACTAGTTTTGGTGGGTACAACCTTGGCCCAAAAACTATTTCTAAGTTTGGTAGTACTTGGGCCAAAATTAAACCAATTTTCTTTCGTTCAAATTCTACCCTTTTAATCTTGTTTCATTTTGTACTTGCCAGACAGAGCCGAACCTTTTTTTTCTTATTTTATGTGGAACCTTTCCATGGCTTTCTTAACTCTGAATAACATCATATATATTAATAGTAATCATATTCTTTCCCTTGTGATTTCTAAGAGATAAACATTCTATAGTACTGTTCTTTTTCCATTGTGATTTTTAACAAATATCAAATCCTATTATGTTTCCTTTGACAGGGTACGACACGCCCAACACACTACCATGTATTGCATGATGAAATCGGGTTTGCACCTGATGATCTCCAAGAGCTTGTTCACTCTCTATCTTATGTGTAAGTAGCGTATTATGCATACAGATTTCTCTTTACAGTTTGATAATATGACCTTGAAATAGTTAGTGCTAACTGCTAACATAATATTTTGCAACATGCAGGTATCAGAGGAGCACAACAGCTATCTCCGTCGGTAGGATGCCAATTTGGACATTTTATGTCTTTAGTCAATTTGTGGAATATTTTTTCACCATGGGGCATTCTCGTTTCCCTTTTGGTGTGAGCTGATGGTTCACTATTTCCTAGTAGATGCTTATTCGATTGGTCCACTTTACCACTTAGTTTCAATTCCGGACTTTATCTGCCCCTATATTGGTGATGTTTTATTCATTTAATCAGATAGCTTGTATACATCGTAAAATCTCTTTCAGAAGTAAGACAATTTTTTAGAGCATCAATCATATAATTCTCATTTCTGATGTTTTAGAAAGCTTTAGCTGTTTTTAGGCGCCAGACCTAGTGCCTAGGTGCCTAGGCGGACACTTAAGCGGCACTTAGACGTTTTTTAACATCGAAGGAGGAAGGACCGTTTTCGAAGATTCAAATCATGTCCTTAATGTTTTACTCGAGATAGACTTGAACATAAGAGTTTTGATCTTTGGTACATTTTAATTTGGCCAACTCTTTCAACCATTACTATGCTTAAGAGAGCAATATGCCTCTTTCTAACACCGTGTTGTCCGCGTAAGCAGCCCGTTGTCCCCTAGGCACTCCCAAGACTTGTACGGGCAGCCTAAGTACCGCTTAGGTTTAAGCAGCCGCCCAGGCGGCCACCGAGACTGCTTTTTAAAACAATGCGTGGTTCATATGTAACGGTGATATTTGATGATGTGTAACTCTCATATCAGCTAGCTCACATCAGCAGTGTAATGGGACTATGACCAGCGACCACTTTTAGTTTGTCTTATTGCAACATGTATGATCTGATTTTAGTGTTTCTGTTTTCTAGTCAGTTTATTTGTAAGCATTCCATATTTATTTATTTTTCTTCACCTCTATACCTAGAATGAGCATCTCAAAAAACTGCTGGAAGCTATACTTAGGAAAATTGTCTCCAGAAGATACAAGTAGACAACTCGGAATTAGTTACAGATCAATTGTGGGTTTATCTGTGGTCAGTGGGATAAATTTAAGCTATACTATCTTAGGATTAGTCAGTTTATTTAAGGTCTAACCCCATTTCCTTAGCCTCATACCAAGTTCAGTCTGGTTCCTGCGAATGGCCTTGGGGCGCAGGCAACATTACCGATTGAAACTTGGCTAAGGCTTGTATACTAAACTAGATGATCTGGGCCCAAGCGGGGTTATGATTTGGTAAAGTTAAAATTTAGGCCTGAGCTGAGCCATCTTATATCTGTATCTAAAACGACAATTCAGGCCACAGAATTTGACACTAAATGTTAATGTCATTTAGCTTTGAAATGAGTGCTTGACATGTAAAACTTTGTAGAGAGACCCTTCTACTTTCTTCAGCAGAAAAGTATCTAAGCTCCGAATTAACATCTTACACCATGCTATAGATAATTAAATGACAGTATGTTGAAATTGTTTATTGCTGCTAGTTGCTCTCCATAATAATCTGAACACTAGAAACTCTTTCTCAACTAACAATATAATTCAGTGTAAGCATGTTGAACATTCCTATTTTATAATTTGGCGCATTGAAATGTCAGCCGTTTTTTTGCATCCTTAGCTCATTTTGGAACGACAACATCACACTCAGATAAGATGTGTTATATACTTTATAATCTGTGCATGTGGGCAAGGGATATAATTTATTGCTGATACTCAGAAATATTGAAGGAATTATGTATTAAAGAAGGCGAATTTTCTGCCCATGATTAGTTTAATGCTCATGTCATGATATAGCAACTCGCAATAGCCCTTGTACCCTCTTACCGAACGGTCTGGATGTTTTGTTCTGTAGAAAAGCAAATTTCTGGGTTGCTCTTTAACTCTATATGTTTTAGGAGTCCAAAAATTTTGGGATATTTAAATAGCAATTCACATCAGCCCTTCAATGTCTTGCGTGGTTTATTTTATTTTTCATTGTATTTAATTTAACTTTCTACCCGTCGTGCTAAGAAATATTCGGGGTCTCAACTCAGTCTTAGGGTTTGGTTTTTGGACATGTTATAGCTCAAATCGTCTGATATCAAAACCGAACCCTAGATTTTCTTTTGGACATGTAATAGCACAATTCACATCAGCTCTTTAATGTTTGCATGATTTCTTTATTTTTTCATTGTATTTAATTTAATTTACCCATCATGCCTAGAAATATTTGGGGTCTCAACTCAGTCTTAGGTAGATTTTCTGGACATGTTGTAGCTCAATTCACATTAGCCCTTCAATGTCTTGCATGGTTTATTTATTTTTTCATTGTATTTAATTTAATCTACCCATCATGCTGAGAAATCTTTGGGATCTCAACTCAGTCTTAGGGTATTGTTCTTGGACGTGTTATAGCAAACCAAACCCTAGATTTTTTCTGCATAGATTGCAAGCTAATTTGAATCACAGAGCTACTATAGCTGCAGAATAGACTTGGCTGGAATCATGAACTTGGCCCTTACCAATAAGATGGATTCCAGAAAATTAAGAAATCAAGGAGAACCGTACACTAGAGTAAATGTGGGCATACAAATAACTTGCCTGTTTTATTGGCATTCAACAACTTTTGGAGTCCTTTTACATCTGCTTCTTGATAATGCTTTATATAACTGCTTTGTATTTCTTAAAACTCTTACCATCATGAGGATATGACGATCTAACGGCTTCTAGCCTCATGTAATTTTCCTATTTGTTTCTCAAAGCCTTATTCTGATTCTTTTATTATGTGTGCCTAACCTTCTACTTTATTATCTAACAATATTTCATTTTCTTCAGTTGCTCCTGTTTGCTACGCACATTTGGCCGCTACTCAAATGAGCCAGTTCATGAAATTTGATGACTTGTCTGAGACTTCCTCGAGCCATGGAGGGATGACTGCTCCTGGGGCCATTCCGGTGCCTGAACTGCCACGTCTCCATGAAAAGGTGAGCAGCTCAATGTTCTTCTGCTGATGGAGAAGATCATGTTTTTGGTGATAATGCTAACTATGACAGTAGAAACAACTTTATTGTATATATATTGCTCTAGAAGTATGGTGTTTATTATCTAGGAGGCACTAGAATCAACAATGGTTTTGGGGTGTTTATTTTGAGAGGTTTATCTGAAAGCCCTCTGGTGAAGTCTATGTTGAACTCGTGATGCAAAGATGCAAAGTCCTCTAGTGACAATAGAAACTGCCTTTATTTTATATATTGCTCTAGAGGTATGGTCTTGTTATTATCTAGGAAGCATACTAGCATCAACAGTGGTTTTGGGATGTTAAGTTTGAGAGGTCCTGAAAGTCCTCTGCTGAAGTTTATGTTGAACTTGTGATGCAATATGCTAATATGCAAGTGTTGCTCTTTATTTGACATGTTTTCATCATTATTTTGGTTCTTTAACCGAGATTTGTGGTTGGCAACTATTTTTTGTTATCTTTTAAAGATTTTCCCTGATACCTGATCTGTTTTCCCTCCCCTTGGTATTTTGAATATTGTTCTAGTTTTTGGGAGTCGGTGCTTTCCCTGGATGTATGTATATTTGTGGTATAAACTCTACATTAAATTATTGAGCCAATTATTGTTAAAGCGCTAATATTTCCTTTTGTATGATGTTATATTTCAAGATAAACTTAGTGTCAACGGAAAGCATTGCAATGTGGTATGATATTTGTTTCTAAGTCTGTCAGCATGCATGTTTAACTACTTGTGCACAACTGTTTCAGTCCATTCGCAGACAAATCTGAGCGCAATTGCTTGTTTTGTTAGAACC